AATATTTGGTGATAAATACATTAAAATCTCTGAAAGAGATTTTCATAAGAAGAAAACAAAAGAAACATGCCCTAGTAATGGACACAAAAATAATGTTTAAAATCTAAATTTAAATTGTTAACGAAATGTGCAAAATCACTACACACACACATAATGGAATAGTGAATTTTGTGCTACATTAGACCACTGTATGCTTTCATACTGTATTGGTTGTTTTTCTTCTGTAATTTAAAAACCCAAACCAACTCTGCTAATTAAGCTCTCTGGCCAAGAGCTCACTTGGATCCCTGACAGTCCCTAGTTAAAGCTTAGTTTGTAGTTTTTGACAGCAAACCAAGACCCTCTTGTTTGCTTCAGGAAAACTGGCTGGTTTTAGTCCCTGGCATTATTTTAGCAGTACCCTCATTCCAACAAGTCACCAATCCTCTTGACCATGACTTAAAATTGTGCCAGAATTTTCTTGGTGGTTTTTTTGTTTGAGACAGGTAGTAGTAGTAGTAATGAAATTATTGTTAGCTTGGTTTTAATTTTTGACAAAATATCTTGGAAACAGGAATAAGGTGGTATATTGAGATGATAAAGCAAGGACAAAAGCAACTAAATCAAATTTACTTGAACTAATACATGTGTTTTTGCCATATATCTTAATTCTTTTATTTCTTACTCCTTAATTAGTCCATAACTCAGAAGGTGAAAACCACCACAGGCAAGTGACATTTTATGAAATGAATTGTTTAAAATGTACTTTTTGTGATAATGGCACTCGATGTGAATAGTATTTAGTATTTTTTTTTTACAATTTTACTTATTTTTGTTGGCATGTTTGGAAATAGGTAAAAAGTCTGAGTGAGAAACTTTCAGTACTTTTATTATTAAATGCACTTCATCTCTCTTTATGTGACTCCTTACCAGAAAAGAAATGGCCTAAGAATTTCCACCTGCCTGATATGACATTTGTAAAAGTCTTATAGTACTTTGATTTCATAAATATATTACCCAAAGTAACTAATTTTTATAACCCACGCCCCTTAAGGAGCCCAAAACTAAGCTCAAAGGGAGACCACAAACCTTGAAAAAAAACTAGAAATATTCCTTCTTTCCCCTCTATGGTCTCCTGGTGTCACTTAACTACAACTCCTCCGTCTGTGACCTTGAGAAACCTTGAGGCTAAATAGGAGGAGTAGAGTATTGAAGGTCATCCAGTCCACCACTACCCAAAAAGGGGAGCAAAAATTCATGATAACAGGTAAGTGTTTTTATAATTATGGCAGATGGTGATTGAAGCAAAGGCAGCTCAAAAGGGGAGACATGAGAAAGCCATAATTTTGAATGTTTGACATTTGTTTTGAAACTACCTTACTACCCTATACCCTTTACCATCTGTCTGTTATCCCTCCCAACACCCACCTCTGTCTTCCCACAGGGCTCCATTGTCTGCAGTTCCTGTTTCTCAGGGGCGGAGCTGTGGGAGGCAGCCATGGGTGCCATAATAGGCACCTGCGGCCAGCACAATGGGCTGTGGGTGCTTGTGGGAGAGACAGATTGATGTATTGTGCATGGGGGAGGAGGGCTGTCACTTGAATCCATGTGAACCCAGGCTTTAGGGGCAAGGGAGATTGACAGCTTTTGTAGGTTGCATTTCTTTTTCAAAGCTTGGCTTTAATAGACAGTAAGTTTGGGGCCCCAGGCTTTCACTCCCATAATTCTAACAGGGCAATCACGAGCATTCAGCATTTCTTTTTACCCCCCTTGTTACGCATTAAATGATTTCAGTAAAGGAATGTGCAGCATTAATTAGAATTTGTTAGCAGATACCAAGGGGAAAAGTTTCTTCACAACAACTATAGGAGGTGTCATTTGTACAAAGACTTTTTTGTTTTCTTTCCCCATTACATTATCACTGCAATATGTAAGGTAGTGATTCTTTTCATTTAAATTAAGTGGAAAGCTACTAAATCTTGTTTTATTCTCCAAAAAGAATAAGGTCCTTAACACTTATCTTTTAACTTCTTTCATTTCCTAAGGTTGGTGTTTACTTTTGCTTTCAGTCTGACCCATTTACTGATCTGTGTGGTTGTGTATCCAGTTTTGTGTACCATTTAGCTCTTACAATTACAGGCAGCCCACTACTGATATATAAGGATTGTTTCAGGTGAAAATAGATACCAATAATACTGAAAATCATTGACACACTGGAGCCCTTTTTGGTAATGGTACACTGAGAAATGCCAAAAAATTAGATTCCCCTAGGTTTGTGTCCCAATTTATTTTCTAAAACTATTTTTCCCTAGTTGATATTTAACCTTAGCTATGACATCAAATTTATGGGAGAATGGGGCAGCGGCCAAGGAATACTTTTTCCCATAGAAAACTCATTCCTAAATTATGTCAGTATTTTTAAACATCAAAAGTCCCCCCCCCCCCGCACCTTAAACACACACAGATAGCATCATTTCCTTATAGCTAGTTAAAATGATCTTAGGGTTTTTTTGGTTTTATATTGTTTCTATTTCCTATTCTGATTTTTATTCCTGACGTTTTAGACTTATATGGGAACAAAATTAATCTCAGATGGGATATCTTGTAAATGTGCTCTTTGCCACCTGAAGAACTGATAAAAATTAAAAATGTTGGCTGTGATTTTTCTAACATCTCTCCCATATAAAATCATTTTCTCTATGGAAGGAGTTGGAGGCTAATTGAATTAGGATTTTTCCCATTCATTGTTTTATTTAAATGTGTTAAGGGCAATAGTGAAAAATATTAGAAGTCTACCATTATTTCTCAGGAAGAACATATTCCCACACAGTTGTCTGGCTCTGTCTATTATAATAACTTGGTGCAATGGTTTTAAAAGTAGTGGGGTGATAATAATTAGGGTGTGCGACACAGAAATTTCAATGCTGGATTCAACATTTCACCATGCAGGGCATGAAAATTGCCGACTGGGGCTAGTCAGCTCTAAGTACTAATTAACTAATTAATCAGGTGCTGAGACCAACTGAATGGAGGATACCAGCCAGACAACTCAAGCCCAAGCAGAGGGTTGTGCTCTTTCAAAGACAGTGCAGTCTTTCTTCTTGGTTTTTAACCCAATCAAAAATGAGGGGAGAAAATAGGATATCGTGTCCTACTGTCAGTCATTTCAGTCTAAGCTTTTTACGTAGAGAAAATAAAATAAAAACATGTGCCTCTGATAATAACTGTGAGGCACTGTATGCAGCGCAACCCCCAAAACTCTGGCAAACTCCGTATCTCCTTGGCCATGAACTATTTCAGGGCTGGTATATGTGGGTGTGTGTGGGAGGAAGGGGATCTGCCTTCTTGGAGTTTTCTACAATATATATTTTTTTAACATTGGAGATGAGAAATGTATTTCTCTTTTTGGACTGATCTAAGGTCTTTTGCCTCATCCCTTGTTTATGTAAATGAGAAGAGTCCAATTACACATATGGAAAAAGGGTTTAATGAATCGTGAAAAAGCCTGGTTTGCAGAGAAAGGGCACAATCCCCTCTTCTTCTTCTCTTTTATAATTTAACTTAGAAACATGTATTTCTTTTAAGGAAGATGATAAAGCTTAATGATTAGATCATTTTATTTTATATACTAATTTTCATATTTGGGAATTATTAAACATATTTTGCTAGAAGATTTAGCTTCCTTTATCTTTGTAAGGCTTCATAGAGACCTAGTAAGTATTGTCTACAACAAAAACTGTGAAATTCTAACTTTTTTCCTAAATTAAAAAACTTATTACATGTTAGTTCCTCCCATTTTTTGTTATTCTTAGCTCAGTGATAATTTTTCTTAACACAGTTTGCTCTGGAACTGTCTGCACTGAAAAAGAACTGCATCATTACAGGAGAGGAGGGTTGTTATTGAACCCAAGGAAAAGACTTTAGTATCACATAGGTTTAGCTTAATTTTGGTATTATTCTGATGTTTTGCCTAGCTAGAATTTTTAGGGTGTTGAATTAGGTAAGCTTTTTTTTTTTTTTTCCTAAAAGACAGTGAATTTTTACACTAGAGCAGAGAATACCGTGTTTGAGATTTCATTTTCCTATTTTCTCTTCCCTTACTTCTTCATTTGGAATTTTCAGTAGTTGAAAGACCACAGAGAACCCCCAACCCATTTTTTTTTAATGACAAAAACCTTGCAAGGATACTGAGGGGAAAAAATTACTACCATTTCTGACGTGACTCTTAGATTTGGTAAGTATGCAACTAGCCCGGAAGAGGTGCTTTGCAGCGACAGCAGGAAAGTTCTAAATCACGGCTGTAAGTGCTTTTCAGAGACCTAATCCAGCAACCTCATTTGGCACTTGGGGAAACTGAGGCCCAGGAAGCGGGGGGCGGGGGCAGAGTTATATGATTTTTTTTCCTCTACAAAATACTGCGTCGATCAGCGGAAAATACTTTTCTTGGGTACCTACTATGTAGAGGGCATTGCTGGGATTCAGACTGCTTGCCTATTCACGGGGGCCATGGTCTTTCCACTCTACCCACTCCCCCCCCACCCCCCGGCCTTCCCGGATCGGCGCCCTGGATGTGATCGACACCATGAAGTTGCCCCATAATCCTCTCTGGCAACATAGGATGTAAAATTTGATCAGCTCATTGGATGAAGCCGACAAGTCTCAAAAATGTGTGAAAAGGGGGCCAAGTGGTAGGCAAGCGCCGCGTTGAGGCAGCGCTCCAGCCGGTCCCCCTCCGAGTTCTTGGTGCGGCAGCCGCGGCGGAGCGGGGGTTGGGGCCGAGCTGCGGGACCGCGGCCGAGGCGGCGGCGGCGGCGGCGGCGGCGGCGACCGAGGCGGCAGCGGCGGCGGCTGCGGGGAGGCCGCGGCGCCATGGGGGGGGCCCTAGGAGCGGACTGCGGGGCCGGAAGGGGGCAGCAAGGCGGCGCCGGCGGCTGCGGAGTTATCTCCGCGGCGTAGCTGGGGGCCGGGCCGGGCCGGGCGGGGCGGGGCGGGGCGTGCACCAGGGCCGCGGGCGGCGCGCGCCGGAACAGTTGGCCTCAGGGCCCCGCCGCCCGCGCGACCGCCCGCCGGCGCACGCGGAGGAGGCGGCGGCCACAGAAGGAGGAGGGGAGCTCGGAGCAGGAGGTGAGGCGGAGGTGGAGGAGCAAGAGTAGGCGGAGGAGGAGGCGGCGGTGGAGGAGACGAGCGGCCAGGAGGAGGAGGATGGAGGAGCAGCCGAAGGAGGGCGAGGCCGAGGTCGCGGAGCACTGGTTCTCCAAGTGGGAACGCCAGTGCTTGGCCGAGGCCGAGCAGGAAGAGCAGCTGCCCCCTGAGCTGCAGGAGGAGGCGACCGCTGAGGCAGCGGGGCTCAAGAGCGAGCAGCAGAAGCTGTGGCACCTCTTCCAGATCTCTGCCACCGCCGTGGCCCAGCTCTACAAGGATTCCGGGTGCCCACAGCCAGAACTGTCCATGTGGGACCCCTTCCAGAATGCGGCCATGGCCGTGACCAGTCTCTACAAAGAGAGCGGGGATGCCCACCAACGAAGTTTTGACCTGGGCGTCCAGGTTGGCTACCAGCGTCGCATCAAAGACGTCCTGGAGTGGGTGAAGAAGGGCCGAAGCACCATTCTCCGCGAAGACCTGATTAGCTTCCTGTGTGGCAAAGTGCCCCCCGCACCTCCATCATCGCGCACCCCCAGGACGCCGCCAAAGCCGCCCGCCGCGGCCACCGGCCAGGCCACAGCTACTGAATCCAGTTCGTCTGTAGACGTCGACCTGCAGCCCTTCCACGAGGCCATCGCCCTGCATGGCCTCAGTGGTGCCATGGCGAGCATCAGCGTGAGATCTGGTGCACCCGGCTCCCCGCCTCAAGCCAGCAATGGCGTCGCCAACAATGGCGTCACCACCAATGGCGTCGCCACCAATGGCACCGGCGGCGGGCGCCGAAAAAGTAGCTTCCTCGAGGACGACTTGAACCCCTTCAACTCAGAAGAACTGGCCCTCCGCCTGGACAGTGGGGGGACCCGCAAGCGCACCTCGGCCCAGTGCGGGGATAGTGTCACAGACTCCCCAACCCACAAGCGCAACCGAATGGTCTGAACCGTGCCGTTGGCCGCCAGCCGCCATGTTATTTGAGAGCTAACTCGACCTTCTACATGCTTGTCGAAAGGATGCTCGAGACCATCGTTTTCTTCTCAAAGTTAAACAAAGATTTCCGTCAAGTTTGCCATAAAGAAACTTTTAAAGTATTCTAGAAGAGGCCTCGTATGACTCTGACTTTCCCAAAAATATAATTCTAGCAGAGAACAAGTATTATGTAGTAGTTAGCAAGATCAGAAAAAACAGAAGTATCTGGTCAAAGCGGGAGCCTGGTTTATCTTGTTCACAGTTATATTCCTTAGCACTTAGCACAGTTGCTGGTGCTCAATAAATGTTTGTTGAATGAAAAATGTGACCTTATTTAAAAATCTTAAAGGGGAAGGACTAATAGGTGTTTACTTGGTTATAGGATACTTTTATCCTCTATTATTTGGTTATTTGCTTTAACCATTTTTTGCCAGTTCAGTTACATCTTATCAAAATGTAAAACTTGACATCTTGGTGAAATCTGGAGTTTTCTATTTTTGCTCCACTTTACCATGCACCTAATTTGTACAAAGTGTGCAAGTAATACATATTAGGCTGTGAGGTGCTTTTTAATATATATATATAGCTGCTTATTATGGTGATTATGTGATGGTATAAAGGGGTGCTATAATGGTTGGGCAGGTAATACTTGATATTGAGTCAATTCAGTGCTCTTTAGGAAAATTAAGCCAACAATTGAGATCCTGAGATCAAAGATGGTGGCCCAGTGGTGCTCCTTTTTCTGAGGAATGTAAAAAGTTCCTTTTCCTAAGGTTACATCTTTTTGGTAATCTCTGTTTTGAATTGGAAGACAGTAGTCAGAATGCACTGGGTTTTATTTAAGGATACAGCATGATGTAACTAAAAGAGCATGAGCTTTGTATTAAAAAAGGACCAACAGTAAAGTCCCAGTCCCACAACTTCATTGCATTATTTTGGGCAAATCACTTAATGTCTCTTGACCTCAGTTTTTCATCTGTAAAATGGAACTGTGTGTCTCCTAAAGTAGTCATGAGGATAAGATGACATCGTAATTTAAGTATCTAGCCCAGTGCGTACCACCTAAAGGTACTCAATAAATGTTCTCCCTTCTCTATAAGTAAAAGTCAGTAAAACATTAAAATCTACTATATTTTAGAAAAAGCAGGAAAACAGATCAATTTAGAAATAAGTAGAATCTCTGTGTTTGAACAGGAAACTACTGTTCTGATAGTTGAAACTTGCTTAAATATCCCAGGTCTTGTATTATAAGTGTGTTTAGCTCATGAATACTCAGGATTGTCACTCTGCATATTAGGGCAGCCTTGGAGTTCCTGAAATTGCCTGAGGGATACACCTTATAACTGGAGTTATGAAAGATCTACTTCCTCTGGCCTGAAAAAATATGGGGAGGGGGGTAAGAATGGAAAGGATTTGGAAATGAAAGTCCTAGGGACACCTAAAAGGCCAAAGTGGTTCTGAATAGGGGTGGGTGGAGTGGAGGTGATGAAAGAGTCCGTGTGGAGGCAGAGGAGGTGACAGTGAAGTTATGGAAGGGATGGGAGGAAGTTAAAATATACATATCTCCCCCAGGCTCTTCCAAAGCAAGCATATAAAATATTGTAGATAGTTGAGTAACACCTTGCCTTTAGGTTCATATCAGAAGGTTGTCTCTGTTTCATGAGTGTGGGCTTTGGAGTAGATTTGTAATCAACGAATGCATTAAAATAATACAACAAAATAAAGTGAATTCCCGGATAGAATAAAAACTTGCTGTTGAGGCAATCTTCACATACTTACTGAGGCACTGTGCTAGGTCCTGAGAAGGGATGTAAAAAAAACCCCAAAAACCAAACCAAAAACAATCTTTATCCTCAAGGGGCACATCCTAACTTGGAAGGTAAATTAATGTAGTGAAAAAAGCACTTCTAATTGTAGGAAAAGCACCTAAGGACTGTGCGGAAGAATTCAGAGGAAGAAGGTCCTCCTTGCCAAGAGGGTTACAGCTTCTGGAGGAAGTAGCATTTGAACTGGGCCCAGAAAAATGTGTAGAAAGAGAGGGCACAGGGGATACCAGTAGGGGAAGAGTATCTGACAAAGTTTGAGAAGGAGGGAAAAACAGTAAAGTGTGTTCGGGAATCACAGGAGCTAGGGAGGGGAGGCAGGGGCCAAATTATATTTGAAGGTCTCAAATGCCTGGCCCAGTACTTTAGATTCTATCCTAGGGCAGGGGATGATACCACCCCCTTTAGGAAGATAGCAGGATGCCTGGATGTCCAGCAGGGAAAGCACAGGGTGTGCCTATAGGATGTTACTGGGGACATTGCCTTTTGGTTAATCAGGGTTGTGGGGATGTTTACCCTGACAGGACTTTCTCTGGGAAGCCTTTGCTCACTCATACCCTCCCACACCTCAAACCATACCAGGTAGGAGGCACCCCCAGTGTGCATTCTGTACTGCTTCTTGAAGACTGAGAAAGCCTTTAATTCCAGCTGCAGAATCTCCTGGAGGGCTAGTCTTGAAAAAACAAAATAGTCATGCCTTCCCTTCTGTCATTCTTCCTGCTTCTTGTGTCCCAGAGCCGTCCTCCAGTGGAATCACTGGGGTGTTAGGGGCTGCAGGACTGACTGAGCAACCACAGTAACTTTAACAGGTAGGTATGGAGAGTGGTAAGAGGGCATGTCAGTATGAGGGAAGGGACCTCATTTGTCTTGTTTTCTTCTGTAATTCCCAGTGCCTAGCACAGTGCCTGACCCATATGGGTACACAGTAAATATTTATTAGATGAGTGGATGAGTGAGCCCCCATCCAGACTCAGGCTTAGCTATTTCCTTTCTCCCTTTGTTTACTTACTGCCCAGGAAGGACACCTGAAGCCCATACTCTAATTTCTAGATGATTTCTCCCTGCATGCCTTTACCCTTATTCCTAACTATCAGATTCAGCTTTTTGAAAAGTGGTCAGTCTCATGACCACCTCCCTTGGGAATATCCTGAGTTGCTTATGAAGGTAGCAGCTCCAGGTGAATTAAAATCTCAATAGGAGGGTCCCTGAAGCGACCCTCTTTCAGGAGGAGGCCTCAGTAATTGTGATGCCTGGTAAAGTCTGAAGCCCCTGAGCTAATTTCTATGTGTATATGCATGTATGCATGTATGTATTTATCCTATATTGAAGGGCCTAAGAAGTGGCTGTTGAGACAGTCAGCAGTCTTGTCACCTTAACCTTAACCTTCCACGATAGCATGGTTAAAGAACCACAGAGAAGTCTGAAACCCAAGGGACCCCACTGTGAGCTTTGTGATTGATTCAAGGAGCTAATTTAAAATTGATCATTGGTGGTGAAATTTCTGTGCAGGCTTAAAGTTATTCCCTCCTTTTGTACTTACTATCTTTATCATCACTTTGCATCTCTCCCTCTTTTTTTTAAGTTTATTTAAGTAATCTCTACACCCAATGCGGGACTCAAACTCACAACCCCGAGATCAAGAGTCGCATGCTATTCTGACTGAGTCAGCTAGGCATCCCTCACTTTGCATATCTCATAAATTTTCCTTCTAGGAGTGCAGATGAGAAGACTGAGTCTAAAACTTGTTGTTAAATGAAATCTCCTCATTTGTGTCCTTTTATAGGAACCTGAGAAAAGCCTCTGATTTCCTAACCTCTAGCTGACTATTTTATCCATTAAACCACTGCTTGCTAGTCAAAATTCCTTACGAACTGAGAGTTAGGAAACATTGCCGTGAGATCATTTTGCCGTTTACGAAATGATGATTGAGTAGGGGGTCAGGGGAGGGTTTGTTGTTGATCAGCCCGGGCCTTCATGGAGGCTTACAGAATTCCTCTAGTAGCATATGCATGGTGGGATCCTTCCTAAGTTCAGAGCCAAGAGGGACCTTAAAGATCATCTAGGGCAGGGTCAACTATTGAGTTTACAGATGGGACAAGTGACCTCACCCAGGAGGGCTACAGTGACTCATTGGTAAGACTAATACCACATACCAGGTTCCAGTCCATTGTTCACTGTGCCTCCCTGAGTTATATTGTGTATGACCTTTTAATTAATATGCTGATGATTGAGTGGGGCTAGGAAACTTGTACTATGAGGCCACTCTGGCATGGCAAGCATACTGTCTTTACTGTGTTGTGTTTCTTTGGGGGAAGCTGTTGGCCTTGTGCATTCAGGGAATACAGGTCATCCCTTGCCACCAGCGCACTTCAGCCACCAACCAAACAGGACTACTTGAAATTTCCTTTCGATCTTCTCTGGACTCTGGCCTTTTTAATTTTCATACCTTCCTCTCCCTTCCAAGTTGGGGTTAAAGTCCCCTCCCCAGAGTTCTCATTTTGGACTCATCACGGGAATTGTCAGTTTGTGTCTGTCTGCCCCACTAGACTGCAAACCATTAAGTCTCATCCCAATGGGGTCTCTTCCCTAGGGAGGTGTGTACACATCTCCGTTACTGCATGTGTAAGTTAAAAAGACATATTCAAAATTATACAATACTTTTATATTTTTTAATGGAAGAATTATTTTTGTCATAAAATTATATTATGGGAAGGAAAGCTCAAAATAAAACTTTGGAGGAGCAGTTTTATTCTATGGGGCATTATGTGTGCTTCCTCAAAGAAGTGTAGCCTATAATAATAAGTTATCAACATTCCTCCTCATTTGTAGATATGATTGTCATATCTCAGGCGTCAGTGGCAAGCCCACGGGATCCGGGTTTAAGTTTTGACTTTCCCAGTGACTTGGAGCAAGTCAGCCTTTTTTGCTTTTTATATATGAAATAAAGGAGTTAGTTATGTTAGATGATCTTTAAGGTGTCCACAGCTCTGGCACTTTCTGATCTGTGATCTAATTCAATAGGCAGTGGTAGCAATTACCCTCTTTCTGTGATATTCTCATTTTGATAATCTAGTGTCCGACTAGCTGAGCTCCGTGAGCTCCTTGAAACAAGGACTCCCAGGCTTCCTCTCTCTTTTGGTTCCATCTTCCTCAGCAGGTCAAGAATTAAAAAAACAATTTTGGGGCGCCTGGGTGGCTCAGTTGGTTAAGCGACTGCCTTCGGCTCAGGTCATGATCCTGGAGTCCCTGGATCGAGTCCCGCATCGGGCTCTCTGCTCGGCAGGGAGCCTGCTTCTGCCTCTGACCCTCCCCCCTCTCATGTGCTCTCTCTCTCTCGTTCTCTCTGTCTCAAATAAATAAATAAAATCTTTAAAAAAAAAAAACAATTTTGAATGCTTAAGGGGCTTTTTACGGGCAAATGCCCCCTTATTCAGGCATTATTCTTTTAAAAAAATAATAAGTTGAGCAGTACGATGTTACACAGAGAAGTTCATAGACTCAGTGGACTAAAGGGGGACCTAGAAAGCCACCCAGTTCACATGCCCCAACTCTGGTGAGAACAGGAATGGAAATCATCCTGGATCCGTGGCTTACTGTCTTCAACTTAAACATCTTTTAGGAGAGTCCAAAGCCGCCTTCTTCAGGAGCTACCAGGCAGGTCTTTCTGAAAACAATCCCAGATTCCTCAAAATGTAGCCTGGTGTGCTGTTCTCTTCTGTTGTAACCTAACTGCAGGCAAACTGGCCGTCCATCTCAGTGGAATAATCCTGCATCTTTTTATAGCTTTTGTGTCCAAACCTTGGCTTTAGACATTTAAAACAATCTAATTTTCTCTCTCTCTCTTTTCTTTTCCAGCCTCTTGGTTGGATATAATACTATTTGTTTCTATGATTCCCAACACGGCCAAAAAAAACCCCGCCTATGGCACATATTATATAGTATGTTTTATATTTACCCTCCTACCCCTAATAGTAATAGAGACCCTGGTTGCAAATTTCTCATTGTTCTTGAAATCCCAGGCTTTCTTGACACCAGTACCCAATTTTGTGTTTAAGTGTGAATATCTTAAATTGGAAGCTTATGGGAAAATTGGGGGAAATGTTAGATCATTAAGAAAATCATGTGCTGAACCACGTGGGAGCCTCTTAAGTACAACTTTGGTGGTCATGACCCTGGCCAGAAGGGGAAGCCTGTGATGTCACCCCTTCCCTGAGTCCCAGTTTCACGGATAGTATCTTTGAATGGAATTGTCTGAGGGAGATTGTTCCTTGTGAAAAGTTCACATGATGGAGTTTGAAGAGCTTGTTTCACCCGGAGCCCAGCAGGACAGAGTGGTTTGGAATGCAGCATTCAGAGTGTTCTGTTTGGCTGAAAGCTGTCACAGGGAACAAGTACTTAGCAAACAGCATGAACAAGGATTTGAACTAGAAAATGAGAAGGGCCTTGACAACATTGTAATAGTGACTTGTCTCCTCAAAAACTGCTCAGTAGTACACAAGAAGGTGATAAAGAAGACTAGGAAAATACATAAATACATTTGGGTCTCATTCAAAACAACCTAGTATAAGAGTGTCCTAATATGGGTAAAGTTTGAGCAGAGGTTACTGGGTCACTGTGGCCATCTCCACTTTACTATAGCTGATTGGATTTTTACCTCTTAAGGCAATAGCCTCAGACTAAGTCTGTGCCTACAGGATGTCCACACAACCTGTTGAAAATAGATCGATCAATCAACTGCTTAGTCTGTTTTCACAATGCTAAATGCCTGGGTCAAATGTTTTTCTTTTTATATTTCCCTGAATTAACTGAATAGACTTGTTGATAATGCTCTTGGCTTTTCATGTCTTAAGTGGAATTATGTGTAATTTAACAGGGCTGTTCTCTCAGTATTTACATTGCCTTTGCTTAAAAATTGGTTCTTCCTATGTCTTTTTTTTTTATTAAGGTATAATTGACAACTCCAACTGAAAGATGTTTAAAGCGTACAACATAATGATTTGATGTACTTACACATTGCAAAAGCCCCCCACCCAAATAGTTGGTTAGCGAGTTCTTCCTATTTCTTAAAGTCTCTTCTTAATTTTCCCAATTTCAGGCGCTGTCTGTGCCTCATAGATGGCACCTAAATCTTCGTGGCTGATGAAATGTAGCTACCGCAGGTGTGTGCAGTAGTCGAAGGCTTTGTTATGATGCTGTCTCAGGGATGCGACAAGGAGCCCTCCTGCTTAAGGTGAAACATAGATATAAGACAGTATTTATTACAATGAAGGTTACATTTATACCTGATTCCTCTCTGTGATGGCTGATGCTCTAGCAGGGATCCAGTCGTTGCTATATAAAGGGCCAAGAGAGCACAGTATCCACCCTCAATACATGGTAATAGACTCAGTGGAGAGTTTTAGCGTTGTGTATGGACATACCCTGGTTCATTGACTTCAGTTTAAAAAGAGATCAAATCCAATTAGACAACCTCTTCCAAATTCAATTCACTTCAATAAACATTGTTAGGATGCAAGGCACTGTGCTACCTCATGCAAAGCATTTGGATTTTATTTTACCTTTTCAGTTTGTTGTGGCATCATGTCAGCACAAGTTAAGTTGGTACATATTGAGGTTTTGTTCAGAAACTTTAAGAATGCCTTTTCTCATTTTAACTCCTGAAAATTTTAGAATTCTCTTCTCTGCTTGGAAGGCCTTCATCTGGAACTCCTATTCCTTGCTTGGGTACAGACTTAGGTATTTCAGAGATGAAGACGTAGTATTGTATCTGTGCTTTGTGTCATAGCCCTTTGGTTTTTGGGGTCCTATTGGTCTCAAGAGGAATTAGTGGATGTGCTAATTAGTAGCATTTAGGTTGTTTTAATGATAGATCCTCTTCTGGGGGCTGGTTTCCAATGTTAGTGCTGTCCACTGGAAATATAATGCAAGCCACGAGGTGCCTGAGTGGCTCAGTTGGTTAAGCATAGGACTCTTGATTTCGGCTCAGGTCATGATCTCAGGGTCCTGGGATCGAGCCCTTTATTGGGCTCCCTGCTCAGCGGGGAGTCTGAGGATTCTCTCCCTCTGCCCCCCTCTCTCATATAAATAAATCTTTAAAAAAATAAATAATGCAAGCCACACATGTAATTCTAAATTTTCTAGTAGCCACATTAAAAAAATAAAAATAAAAAGGTGAATTACTTTTAATAATATATTTTATTTCACGCAGTATATCCAAAATATTTTCATTTCAACATGCAATCAATATAAAAATTACTAATGAGATATTTTATATTGTTTTTTAAATCTTGTTCTAAGTCTTGGAAATTTGGTATGTGTTTTGTATTTACAGTATATCTCGATTCAGTCTTGGCACATTTTATGTGCTCAATAGGCACATGTGGCTAGTGACTCCTGTATTGGACAACACTGTCCTAAATGGACATAGTCTCCAGATGGCATGGAACTTAAAACTCAAGTACACTGACCTCCCTTGAGGGATTTAACAACCATACTCAGCTCCATCAAGAATGTGAATCCCTATTGTCAGATCTGGGATCATCAACCACACCTTAAAGCTTGAAATAGGGTCACCTGGGTGGCTCAGTTGGTTAAGCGACTGCCTTTGGTTCAGGTCATGATCCCAGGGTCCTGGGATCGAGCCCCGTGTTGGGCTCCCTGCTCCGTGGGAAGCCTGCTTCTCCCTCTCCCGCCCCCCCGCTTGTGTTCCCTCTCTTGCTGTCTCTCTCTGTCAAATAAATAAAATAAAAATCTTTAAAAAAAGCTTGAAATAGATAGTTTTACAGTATAGAAAAAAGGGAATACTTCTCTTAACAGTAAATGTATGTTCTCATTCCCTTTAACAATCAGCAGTCCTGACTGAGCAACTACTATATGTAAGGCAATGTGCTAGGTGCTGTGAAAGATACATAATGATGACCAAGATGTGGTTCCTGACCTCAGGAGCTTAGATTATACTTTTGTGAGTGAGGCAGTACACAAGATTATGAATACACATATGCACGTGCACACACGCACAGACATACTCTAAGATAAACTGTATTTTAGTGAGTGTCATACTGGAGGCATACCACTTATATTAGGGGCACAGACTAGGGAGAGTTTAATTCCAACTGAAGAGATTTAACAGCTGATTATGGAAGAGGTAACTGAACTGAGCCTTAAAGGATCAAGTGTTTTTCAAATCTAATGAATTACAGCATATACAGAATCAAATTTGAAGTAGATCCTAACAGAGTCGAAATTCACTGATCACCCCGGGGATTTTCTGCATGCATTTTCTGCACTGGGTCAGTCTTCAGTGAAATTATTTTCCAACCTCACAATGTGCCCCTAGGTGCCAGTGTCAGAGACTCCACACAGGCTAAGTTAGCTCCAACTGAATGTGGCTTTTCCGATGTTACCTGACTAGTTCATTTCCTTTTCAAGCCAGGGCTCCAACTTTAGGCTATTTGATTAAAATTAGGTTCTTTGAGGTCCAACTTTCCTGTTACATAGCTGTTGATTTTCCTTTCCATTGTTGGCTTTGGAAGGGGGAGTAGGGAGCATTTAATTAGTTGTTATGCTTATCAGCTTTATTTGTCAAGCATTTTATAGTTTACCAAGTGTTTTTGCATAGATAATTACATTCGATTCTTTTAGTTTCTTTATCTGACACCAGTACAGGTAAGGAAACTGAGGCCAAGAATGGTATATAGTGACTTGACCCCAGTTGCTTGGCTAGTGAGTGCTGGAGCTGGATTCAACCATGGTCTTCTGACTTCCTGGCCAGTGTCCTTACCTTGCTTTTTCACTTTCCCCAAGTCCTACCTTTCAAGTGCTGAGAGACAAGAATGTGTAGGCTAGCTCTCTTTTAAATATTTTAACGAACAAAAATCCAACCACTAACAATAGATAAATGAGAGAGGGATTATTCACATTGCAAAACAATTATTCCATTGGTTCAAAAAGTGAGCTCCTCTGGAGGGGTTAGCATACAATTTCATTTACAAAAATATCTTATGCCCCATAGCTAAGGAGGGTGTTTATTAGGTGAAGTAAAATATGAAGCTGGCAAGAGTATTTTCTTCATATGTCAGTTTTCTATTTCCAGAAATGTGTTTTAACCTGAAACCTCTGAAATCAGTGATGAATTACAAATTGAGTAGTTTTTTTTTTCTTTTTTTCCTGGTAAAACACTCTTTTTCATACTCAACGAGTTTCACAGGATGGAATGCATTTTATTTTCCAAACCATAAAAGTAAAAAGTAAAAACCATTGCTCTGCCTTTAGGAAATTTTACTTCTAGTTCCTTGTTTTGGTGAAACTCCTTCTAGTTCTATTTTCAGTGGTATTCTGAAGAAGCATCAGCCTTAACAATGGCGTGGAAGAATCAGATCTGACATACAATGCAACCAATTAACAAGAAAACCCTAGAAACAGCAAAACCTACTGGCATGGGTCACAACCTTTTATATTCCGTATCTTATTACCATTTGATATACATCGAGATGAGGCAAATAAGCAATTTTAATGGGAGAGAAATGAAACTTCAACTGCATTAACTATTGACCTATAACATAATAAGAAATGTTATTCATTTTCTTCAAAACTGCAATGTTAATGTATGGTTTTCATTGGAAAATTAAGATCAGCAGATAACTGCGAAAATTAGGGGAAGAGATGTACTATTAAAATGCTATGTGATTGAATTTCCCTAAATGCAGTATGGCTATCTAAAAAGAGACCTCTTCTTAATTGAAAGCATTTTCAAATGATAAAAGGTAGAGTGCTGAGTAAATATTTCTGGAAAGTTTCTGTTCTGACACATAGAGGGTTTGAGTGCTATTTTGACCTCTTATTAGCATTCCCTAGCAACATCCACCTCCCATACTTGGAATTCCTGGAAAGGTTTTAACTGAAATTATAGTATTTTTCTGCCCAAGAAAGGAAAGCAACATCTTTAACACAGAAGGGATTGTGAATGTAAATTAGATTAAGTCCCAGGGTGGTACCCTGAGGTAACATGATGCACTTCCACTTCGATGCATATATTGATTGCTGAAGAAATTTCGTATAAACTGAAATTTGTATACCAAATTGTGAAGGAACTCTGGACCAGGAGTTGAGAGACCAGGTTGTCAATCCTAACTTGCCATGCCTTCTCTGGCCTTTCGTTTCCTCATACATAAGATGAGGGGAAGGTTGGATGCAACAATATCTTTCTTTTTCTCTCTCTAGCTTTATTGAGGTATAATTGACAAATAAAATTGTAAGATATTTCAAATGTACAACCTGATGATTTGGTGTATATATACACTGTGAAAGGGTTTCCCCTACCTCATCGGGTTAATTAACACATCCATCACCTCCCATATGTGCCTTTATTTTTTATGCTGAGAACATTTAAGTTCTCCTCTTAGCTGATTTCAATTATACAATATGGTGTTATCAACTATAGTCGCCATGTGTTATCAACTGTAGTCACAATGTACAATCTCTTTTTTTTATCTCTAAATTCTACCTCTTCTTTGCTTCCATGCTCCTACACGCAGTACACACTACTTTTCCTTGGTCATGTGATTAACAATCCTTCAGGTTCACAAGTGGAGTAAAAATGCTGCTTTGGGGAAACTTGCCATAGTAACGAAATTTCCATTGAGAAAATAGAACCATGAAAGGGCAACATTTCCTATGTAGTTTTATCCCCCAGATGCCCTTGGACTATATGGCACTTGCATATATTAGTGATGCAAATCTGGGAGAAGAGCAAGACCAAGATGTTATGACCAAGACACTCGATTTGCATTGGAATGCCCCATGCAAACAGCACATCAGAACTCATGAAGTGGCATTTGGCTTGAACTCTTGGAAGGCATGCCAATCTACAAAGAATCCAAACGGCAAATGTTGGGATGAGAGCAGTCCATTGTTCTTCTCTAAATGCAACTTGATACTGAATCTGAAGAGAATGGAAAAAAGTATGAATTTGATCATTTAACTAAAGTCATTTCCCCTCTGTGGGCACCAGTGACCTCATCTATAATATGAGGACATAAAACTTGGACATAGACCTTCCAACTCTAACATTCTGTGTTTCCGTTTGAATTTTTTTTTTTTTTTACAGGAGTAGGTTTAACACTTGTGTGTTGGAGGGAAAGGGGAAAGCAACTTCTTTAAAAAAAAAAAAAAGATTTTACTTATTTCTTTGAGAGAGAGAATGTGAGTGAGAGAGAGTGCACAAGTCAGTGG